AAAAAAAAAAAAAAAAAAAACAACAACAACAACAACAAAAGAATGGATAATATATAGTTGCTGTTTAATTTATACGACCCGGCCTCGCCAAGCCAAAACTAATATATTTACTTATCATGATTTATTGCATGTACCCTTTGTTCCCTTCTTGGATAATTATTAATAGGGTATGGCTTCTATCCCGGACTGGACCGTGCTGTTGGGTCCGTGGGGGCCCACCACGGGTCTCGTTTTGATAATCTGAACCGTTCAATGTGTAGAATTTATCGAGTACTATATGCCTGTAAAAAATTATGTTAATCGGATATCGATAGCTATATGATCAAATCAGTTTTGTATTAAAAAAATTAGACGGTGAACAAATTAACGGTTGACAAAAACTATTTTGGTCACATAGCTATCGATATCCGATCAACGTGATTTTTTACAAGCATATAGTACTCAACGAATTCTACACATTGAACGGTTCAGATTATCAAAACAGGACCCGTGGTGGGCCCCTACGGGCCCAACAGCACGGTCCAATCCGATCCCGAACTGGACAGAAGCCATACCCTTATTAATATGTTGTAATAATTGGATTTAATTCCCATTACATCTTTTCAATTCGTTGCTGAAATTTAGTCCTATCAGAATCCGTGCTAAAAATTGACAATTCATGATATTTTTTGAATCTGTCGCTAAAATTTGACAATTAGTAATGTTTTTTGTGACAATTTTCTAAATCTATCGCTAAAAACTAATAATTAGCAATGTTTGTCTATGACGAATTGTCAAAATGTCATTAAAAACTAACAATTAGTAACTTTTTTTTTGCTTATAAAAAAACGTCAATAATTATCACAGAATCTATTGAGACCTACACGCAAGTCCTCCAAAGAAACAAATGGTAAATTACTAACAAATCCATATAGTTTGACTTAATTTTCATTAAATGCTATCAATTCAGCACTGAAATTTGGTCCTAATAGAATCTTCTTTAAAAATTGACAACTAGTGATATTTTTGTGATGTTTTTTTGAATCTATTTCTAAAAACTAACAATTAGCGATATTTTTTGTAATATTTTTGTAAATATATTGCTAAAAACTAATAATTAGATATTTTTCTGTGATAAATTTTTTTAAACTGTCGCTTAAAACTAACAATTAATGATCTTTTTTTATTTATAAAAAACAATGCTAATTATCACAAGATCTGTTGGGATCTACACGTAAGTTTCCCTTACTTCACTTCTATTTACCCTTCGTTTTTTATTTTTTTTTTAACATCCACTCTCATTGTCTCCCAATTAATTTTCTCACATCTCATATGAGCCAAGAAAATATTACTTATCAACTGTACAAATCAATGAGATTTACAAATTTAAATGAGATCAATATAAATTTGTAAATAAAGGGCCCATCATTTTTTGAACAAACTTTGAGCGAGGTAAATAGAGAATCCAGATGATGGGGTTTGATTTTCAGTACTAATTTAGTTGAAATTGTTAAATTTTGTTATGATATTTTATGCATTTATCTCCTTTATTGATGTTTGTCTCAGCCTTATACATTAATTTTCATAAATAAAATTTATTCTCTTTGCTGATAAAAAAAGTTAGAGAATTCACTATCTTAAACCAATCACAAATTATATTTCAACTATTTTTACTTCAATCTCAATTCCAAAACAGAAGCAAGGAGACATTCATGGAATGAGTCAACTCAGTGAGTTGTGTTGTGTAGTGATGACAAGTAACAAATGTTAGGTTTGCATGAGATCATGGGGAACTTTTATGAGCTTTCCAATATTCTCTTCTTAGGGTTTTTGGGTGGTGGGCCATCCTCTCCCATGTGCTTCCATGTGCTGTGTCTTTCTCTCATAGGCCCACCACCTCTCCCCTCCCCTCCTTGATTAAATAAATGGCCTTTCTGCACATTCTTCTGCTTCTAATTCTCTCTCTCTCTGCACTTCTTGCTTCTAATCCACTTTCTTGGATCCTATAGACTACATCTCTCTCTCTCTCTCTCTCTCTCTCTCTCTGCAACTTGTCTCCACCCTCAAACACTTTGGCATGATCTTCTCTCCCATCAAATAGAAGAATTTCAGTAAGGTACATATGAATTTAGTATATATCTCATCTTTACTACATGAGATTTTGAAGTTAATATATATATATATATACACACTGTCTTTTATATATGCTCATATTACTTGTATGTATTATTGTCAGCTTTAAGTAGATTCAAATCTTCAAACCCTTTTCTCTGATACAAATTTTACACGTTTTATTTCGATTACTTTCTCTCTTCCAATTCAGCGGTAGAAGTTTGGAATTTGGATCTAACCTTAAAGCTAGCATTCCAATATACTATGAAATAGCTTACCTAAATTACACTCAATTTTATTCTTCCCTTGTGCATTGTCTGTATAACTGACAATAGTGATATTAAACAGAAAAAAAAAAAAAAAAATATGAAGTTGTGTAAAATATACTGAACTCATTTGATGGACATTTAATTATAAAAAGATTATTGATTATTTTAACGACAAACCCATATCATTTTAAAATAGAGTGTACATTGACATTTAATTACGAAAATGTCACTGTATATCATTTTGACCATAAATTTTGTATGAATGATATTTTTTTTGTTTTTTTGATAATAATGTTTCGATATCGTTTGCAGAGCCCGGATGCCGAGTCCAAGCTCGCTCAAGCAAGAATTTCTTAAGAAATGGGTGATGGGTCTCCAAGTTTGTAATAATTCAGAGAAAGAGATGAGCATCATGGAGAGAAAGAAAGCGATAAAGCTATCTGCAGATGTGGCCATGGCTTCAGCTAGAACTGCCAGCACAAGTTGGAGTCGTGCCCTAATCGCCAATGCTTCGAAAAACAATGAAAGCAATTTCATTGTCGATAACATATTGGGCAACGATTCTCAGAAGATAAAGAAAGCTTCAATCCTATCGCTTTCACACAACAAGATAGTTCTGAGAAGCAAGAAAATTTTGAAGAAGAGTCACAGAATCAGAAGAGCAAAGAAAATAGCACCTCAAGTGGTTTTGGCTAGTTCTATTGCAAAGAGACTTGTGAAGAAGAGAACCCAAGTGCTGAAAAGGCTCGTCCCGGGCTGTGAATCCATGGATGACTTCTCTTTGATTGAAGAAACCCTAGATTATATAGTCTCGCTCCGAGCTCAAGTCGATGTAATGCGTTGTCTTGCTTATGCTACTGAGCATTTGAATAGCAAATGAGGTCATCAATGGCTAAAATTAATACTTCTTTAGTTTAATGGTCTTTTTTTTCTTTTTTTTTTCCCGGAACTTTTAATTGCAAGACTAGATGGAGAAATGATGTTGGCATATATTTGAGGAATGTAAATATGAACCATTTCAACCATATCTATGTCAAACTGTAGTTTTTGATTCTATCCCTTCAATTTCTCTTTATTGACTTGCATTAAGGTTGCATAACCAAATTCCTTTTAGTTTGAATTTTGACTTTTTTCTTCTTTTTTTCCCTTGTTTTTAAAATTTGAAATTGTCCTACACATTGCTTCATTTGGTTTGTTCAAGGTCCATTTTTCAATAAAAATAAAACATAAAAAAAAGTGACTCAATGCACCATATTTCTTTATAAACCAAGTATGGGGAAAACAACTCATTTCGGCATAAGGTATTCATTTTATTGAAAATGAAGGAAAATCAAATCTGTTCTAACATTTAGACATTATTTCTTTTTTCTTTTTCTTTTTCTTTTTTATGGAAAAAAATAAAATTTATAAACCTAAAACTTTAGTACAAGATAAGTACAACAAGATTACATAAAATAAGAAAAGGGCAATATTAGGGATACAAAATTTTCTATCAAATAAATGGCCAAATGTCTTTCATGAGTGTGAGATCCACAATTTTGTGGACCCCACATCCATGTGAGAAATTTAATAATTTATTTGGTAAAAAATTTGAAATCTATAACATTTTCTGTAAGAAAAAGGTCTATGCTTAAACCGTAAATCTAGTTACCTAGAAAATCAGTCCAAAATTTTTGTCCAGAATCTAAATATGTAGTTCGAATTGAATTGGTATATTATGAAGTTTTTGTATAGAATGAATTGTACAGTAAATTTGGGCCATATACTGATATTTTCTAGATAAAATTCTATGTGAAAATTATACATATGTAGTACTACTGAAAATTACAACTCCATTTAAGCCTTACTTGCTCATGAATTGTACTAGCATGCATCCATTTGCAAAGAAAAAGATAAGAGAAGTGTTTTCTCATCTAGAAGGATCCAATGCCCCATTAAAGCAAATGATGTAATTATGATCGCCCAAGATACATTTGACTTTGAACTTGATTTCATATCTTCTTTGCATTCCAATGTCTTCACCTCTTTGTCATGAAATTTTTCCAAGGTTATAATTAGTTGTACGTGTGTGTGTGTGATGAGAGAGAGAGAGAGAGAGACCTAGTGTGTCCATGAATGCAAAATTCAATGTCCTACCATCTATTACGTGACTAACACAGCTGTCATGTATTCTTCTATGCCAACTATGGTTACAAAACTGAAATGGTATTGTATTATTAGAGCATGCAAAGAACAAAAAAGTTGTTATGCACATGAGGCAACAATGCAAATTCAATGTCCTACCATCTATCACGTGACATGTGGATATATATATATATATATATATATCGACGAAGTTAGTGATTAGTTATTAGATTAGTATCTCGGCAAACATTTAAGTCTTCTTTTTCATCCCACTCCTAAAGGTAGAATCCAAGAAATCTCTTTAGGAGAGATTTGACGGTCAAGCAATTACACATGTTACGATCCCTTGGTTTATGTGTATATGCATATATACATGTACAAATAAATATATTCTAGAGGTATGGACACACTAGGCGTGTGTGAAATAATTACATAAATCATAATAGTTTTTTAAGCGGTTAAATGTGAGCAGAGTACTTTGACAATTAAATAAAGCCAATTATACGAAGAAGACAAAAAATCAATTCGTGATAAAATTTTCGCACCAATAGAATTGTACACTTTATATAAATGTTCACACCTAAGGCATGATCCTGACATCTCTCATTTTCTCTTCACTGGCATTGATTGATTGTTCATTACAAACCTGTGAACATTGTGATTCATTAAAGGACAATTTATATGTATAAGGGATTGGTATATCAATGTGGATATGTAACCATATATTAAATAATTGTCAATTTATATCCTAACTTTAAGAGAAATGAAAAATAAAAATTTTAACTATTAATATGTCTTTTAGACTGTATTTATATCTTGAATTTGAGAATTGATTTATTTAGAAAAAGTGAATGAAATAAAATTTAGATTTTCATCATTTTTCTTTTCCATTCATATGTCTCTACAAATCCAAAATTCAAAATAGTTTTAAAGTTTGAACTTTTTGTATAAGAATCCTAAGTTGTAAAGCACTAAGCAATTACCCTTACTTTCCTACTCCAACATTGATTTGCAAAAACAAATGAAGAATGCCTCATATGGAGATTATTAAGTCCCCTAAAAGGATGAGATATAAATTGGGAATTAAGAGGTTGAGATTCGAGGGCTAAAAGATCAAAAAAAATAAAATAAAAATAAAAAAATAAAATTATGCGGGGATATAATGAAGAGAATAAATAAAAATGGGATATAATGAAATAAAATAAAAGTACCCACGATCAATTACCCTAAAACTAAACTATGGTCATGTCTGGCAATTTTAACTTAACATGAGATAGGATTGAATTCTACTAATCTTGCTCCTAATACAAGGACATTTCAAACGTGAAATAAAATATAATTTTAAGATATTGATAATCTCATAACTATTAATTTTAAGCAAAAATCTCATATAACCCAATCTACCAAAACAAACATAACCATAAATATTATATTCGGACAAATGAAGATTGGATTTACTCCCTAATTATATATCTATATATTGATCATTTCTGTGCACAACCTTCTGCCACCATTTCAGAAATGTACTGCATTTCAGCCCTATCTTCCTTAAATTGGTTGTCATTAGTCAAAGTTCGTAATCAAATGCAATTTTTTCATTGATTGTACGAATAACATTTAAAATCTCAAGGATTAGGTCATAAAAGCCAACCCATCAACATCCTATGATTTGGCCAAAGAGGTCCCCATAAGTTGTATACTGCCTCATGTGGCTCTATTAGGAGTTGCCATCATAGTTCTAAATATCGGCCGATACGCTACGTATCGGCCGATACGTATCGGAAAAATGGGGTACCGCGACGGATACAGGCCGATATACCACTGAGATTGAAAATCACAGGAGTATCGGCCGAGTCCCGGTACGTATCGGCCTGTAAGCGTTACAAAAGCCGTTACACAAACTTCCACTGGAAGAGAACTTGTCAAATAGTTTTCAGATAGGTCCAAATGTGATAATGAGGAAAGACCAATAACTAATTGAGGTATTGGCCCACTAAGCTTGTTATGTGCTAGGCTCAATGACAACAAATTTTTGCAGTCACCCAAACTTGGAGGGATACTGCCATGAAGACTCTTTTGATTCAAACCAAGTTTAATTAATGAACTTAAATTTCCTAGAGAGGATGGGATATTTCCCGAAATTCATTTTCTGACAAGTCCAAATCTTGTAGGTTCTGAAGCTTTCCAATATCAAATGGTAAATTACCTGTAAAGTGATTGCCAACAAGCCATATTCTTTCCAAGTTGATGAGATTTTGTATCCCATAAGGAATGCTCCCTAATATCTGATTATAACCAAGTTGTATTTTTCTAAGCTTAGTGGACAGGTTGCCAATGGTTTCAGTCAACATTCCTCCAAAGTTGTTATCGCCAAGATCAAGTAGCACTAAACCAGTGGCATTGTTCAAAGAGGGCAGAAAGCCCAAATCAACAATGTGACCGCTCCCAAGATGATTGGATGCGATTGACAATCGGTGAAGTTTATGCAGCTTCTCCATAGTTGGCACTCCTCCAATAAGGTCATTTTCTGATGTATCAAAATAAAATAGGTTCGAGGCATTGGAAATTGAAATGGGAATGGATCCAGTAAATTGATTAGTGGAAATACTAAGAATCTTAAGATTTGGAAGAACATTTCCTATTTTAGAAGGAAGACTCTCTGATATGGTTCACTGCAAACAGATTAATTGGCTGGGATTTCACCACTGATTGAATTGTTGTTGAGGTACAGAACTTCTAGTCTTCTCAGGTGGCCAAGTTCTGGGGGAATTATGTGAACAAAGCTATTGTTTTGGAGGTGTAGAGTTCTGAGAAAGCTTAGGTTACCTATATACGGTGAAATGTTGCCTGACAATTTCAGGGACCAGAGATCCAACAGGACCACCCTCTGGTGGTGACGACGGCCGCATGTGACACCGTTCCACTGGCAGAAATGGACGGAATCATTCCAGGAGGTGAAAAGCTTGAAAAGATCATCAGTTATTTGGGATTTTAATGCAAGCAATGCTAGTTGATCTGTTTCATTGATGCCATTGCCCATAGCATGAAAAAAGAGAACAATGACCAAGACCCAATCAAACTCATTTGGAATTGACAATCTAGGGACTTCATTGAGAGTTTACTAGACCCAATCAATCCAAGATTACAAAAAACTATAACAACGAACTAGAATGAATTTAGTGGAATTTATTTATGTTAGAAAAAACTCTGCAAATTTATGTGGTAAAGTAAAATATAGTAATTGGGTTTTGATCATATCCTTCAATTATTTGATTTGATTCTCTTGTTTAAGATTTTAGACAAAGACCCAGTTCAACTCACGAAAGTCTTCAGAGATGAGTCTTCTAGGACTATAGCGCTAATGACCATGTCTTTAAAAAAATTTATTCTCTCTCTAATCCAATAAGTTCAAATTAAGTATGGACCTAAGTACGAATGTCATCTTTATTAGGAGACTAGGAATGACAAAAGGAGTATGGGCTAAAGCCCAAAGAAAGTAGGTCAACAATGGGCCAAAGTAGGTTCGACCCGCCAAAGGTCCGAACAGACTTTATGAGGAGAAAATGTCTAAGTCAAGCTGTAGAGACATTACTTACAGCGATCAAGTTACTGAGATACTTTGTCTTAATGTCGTCATTCCAAGTATTGCTGGTGCTACCGCCATCTGAAGTTGCCAACAAATTTTTTTTTTTTTTGAAATCAGAGTTTGAAATCAACATCTTCAGATCCAGATCAACATCATCACCATCTCCAGATCTTCATCATCTTCATCATCATCAACAACAAAAAAATTTATCATCTTCTTCAACAAAAAAAAAAATAAAAATTTCCCCCTCTTCCTTTGTTCTCGAAAATTCATCATCTGCTTCATAGCCTGAGATTGGATCTTTATCATCTTCTAGTAGATCTGGAAGTGACGAAGCCACAGAGCTCATCATCTTCTCTTAGAGC